CAAAGCGGAAAGGATTTAACCATCGAACATTGAGGTGCTGTCATCAAACAACGCGATTTTAATCAATACCAATTGCGATATCAATAGCAACAAAAATAGAAACTCAAAGGAGCAGTTAATCCCAATATTTTGGGGCGTCCATTTATATCCAAACATTGTGGGCATAGAAGCGACAATAGTGGTATGTAGGTCGATAAATCCACAAACATCGAGTCATTCTGCCATTGATAGCAGGAGCTCATTGCAGAGATCTCAGCTGGGCATTTTTTTTTCAGTCAACTTCTTGGGCCCCGAAAAATCTCGTCAACCATGGCCAGCGTCAATCCTGGTTGACATTACCTGATCCGTATATATATATACATATATATATATATATGCATATAGTAAGGATCCAGCAGATAGAATATTAAAAAAGATATGGTCAAGAGATAGAATCTGGATTTCGCTTTGCAGGTGGGAATCAAGAGATAGAATACGGAATGTATAAATTTAAGAAAATCATCAAAATTATGAACATATCCTATGCAAATACATTGTTTTTTATATGATAAAACTCGAGAAAACTCTTCAAACTTAATATATATATATATTGAGAAAACTAAGCAAACATATCATTATATCATATGTATAAACAATTTTTTGAAAGAAAATTAAAGAAACTCTTCAAACTTGAAATATACATATATAAAAATAATATTCTAAGAAACTAATCAAAAATATCAATATATTATACGTAGATATATCGTTTTTAGTAGAAAAAACCAATGAATTTATTCAATTTTTGAAATATATATATATACATATATATGTATATATAATATGTTATATATATTTATGGAATTAATATAAAGTTAAGAAACTATTCAAATTGAGTTGAGCATCACATGAAGCACAACAACCAGACTCCAATCAGTGATGGTAGCCAGCAGAGCTGGCACACCATCAAACACACTCATACTGTAACATAAGATTAGTTTGTGTGGGAGATGATCCACTGGAATATTCTATCTGTTGATTTTGGACCCTTTTTTAATTGCCTTTTGAACAGAATTCACATATGACCCAGATCAACAAATCCTTTTGATACCCTCCAGGGAGGCACAACAATGTTTCGAATACTCTTTCAGATCTGCCATTGCTAGTAGCTGGAACACGTTGGAAGTTGAACCCTGATCGCTAACCTGAAATATTGTTTTGTAATGCCTATGAGGCAACCAAAACATGTTGGTGCATGTGTTATTCATGTTTCGATATAAACATAAAATACGACCAGAAATCATTAATACAATTGTCTTTAATCATACAGTGAATACACTTGCTGTCATGGGTTCATGGGACAGTTGATGTACGGTCATTCTTGCTGTTTGATCCAAAAATTAATTGAATATGACTTGCATATTAGACACTGGAAATGCTTACCAGCAATGCTGGCATACAAACAAATGTTCAAACCTGCATGCCAACAATGCTGGCATACAGTGAATATAATGTGAGAATAATATGTAATGTCGATTTTGTACATATTCACATGTTCGTGGTTTCTAATTGTACAGTTTTTGTTTGCATCTATCTCATCAAAACATATATATATAGGCAAACCAAACAGATAGAATATTCCAGTATCGTCACATAAAGGAAACATGATCATGTCAGAAGCATGCATGTGTGAATATTTGTTAAACAAAAAGATAAAAGATATATCTTTAGTTGTGTTCTGCATCAATTCTCTATATAGAATATGGTTTGCAATTGTCTTTAATCATACAGTGAATACACTTGCTGTCATGGGTTCATGGGACAGTTGATGTACGGTCATTCTTGCTGTTTGATCCAAAAATTAATTAAATATTACTTGCATATTATACACTGGAAATGCTTACCAGCAATGCTGGCATACAAACAAATGTTCAAACCTGCATGCCAGCAATGCTGGCATACAGTGAATATAATGTGAGAATAATATGTAATGTCGATTTTGTACATATTCACATGTTCGTGGTTTCTAATTGTACAGTTTTTGTTTGCATCTATCTCATCAAAACATATATATATAGGCAAACCAAACAGATAGAATATTCCAGTATCGTCATATAAAGGAAACATGATCATGTCAGAAGCATGCATGTGTGAATATTTGTTAAACAAAAAGATAAAAGATATATCTTTAATTGTGTTCTGCATCAATTCTCTATATAGAATATGGTTTACAATTGTCTTTAACCATACAGTGAATACACTTGCTGTCATGGGTTCATGGGACAGTTGATGTACGGTCATTCTTGCTGTTTGATCCAAAAATTAATTGAATATTACTTGCATATTATACACTGGAAATGCTTACCAGCAATGCTTGCATACAAACAAATGTTCAAACCTGCATACATGTGTGAATATTTGTTAAACAAAAAGATAACAAAAGATATATCTTTAGTTGTGTTCTGCATCAATTCTCACCAAATCGTATATATATATGCAAATCAAACAGATAGAATATTTTTTAATATCTAAATTATATCTATTATAGAAAAATAAAAAAATAAAAAAAAAATAATTAATTTTTTTTAAAGTTTTTTAAGACAAACATGTTACAAAACCCTATATATATACACGGATCTAGTCCGTACCTGCCGGTATTCTATCTGTTGAAATTCCTGCCTGCAAACCTGCTTATGTAGTATTTTTTTTTGGGGGGTGAATTATGGTTTATATTCTATCTGCTGGATCCTTACTATACATATATAGATACATGTGTTTATTTATCTATTTACTATATATATATATATGCATAGATGTTCAGTAAACCCAATAACGAGCTCGAATTGGTCATGTTTTCTTTTCATTACCACTTTCCTAAAATTGAGGGGTTATGTTCAGCACCTTGCTGATCCAAAACTTCTGGGTACCCCCAAAATCCTCAGATCATCGCTTTCCGCATTAAAGTTGTTCTATTTTGGGATATATCAATGGATTGGTTTAAGGAAAATTTCACAGGAAAGCCCTATGATCTTCATGGGAAAATCGATGGTTTCCGGCTTCGGTTTCTCCTAAACCAATCCAATCCGATCTTTATCACCATTACCATTGCATAGGAAAATCCCCAGATAATCTAATCCTATGCAATGTGATCCAAAACATTACAAAAACATTGATAAAACATGCATCATATCTATATCTATATCTATATCTATATCTAATCATATACATATATATATATCACCATGATCACCATGTTTTTGGCATGTCACCACAGATCCTTCGATCGGCGCCTCAACGGTCACCGCAACGGTCACCCAGCTACGAACCGTCGTTGGCAGCGATGCGGTAGGGGCTGAAAATCGTGCGCCATCGTGCGCCCAACTGGGAGAATCCAATTAATATAATCCCATTGTTGAATAATCTATTATCCCATTAAAATATTAATCCCATTATTAATCCCATTAATATGTATATCTATATTAATCCCATTATCAATCATGTTCCTTATTCAATGATAAATGATTCTCCCAGTGATTCTCCCAGATAAATGATAAGGAACCAATGATACTAAGTGATACTAAATGATACCAAATGATAAATGATACTAAAGTGATGATGATACTAAGTGATGATTAAATGATACCAAATGATACTATCACTGATAAATGATACCATATTTAAACGATACTAAGTGATACTAAATGATACCAAATGATACTAAATGATACTAAATAGTTATAATTGGGGGTTTACGCCATTTTCACACATGCCCAATTGAAAAAAAAACATGCAAAAAAGGAAACTGATGAAAATTCCACTTGGAACTCAGGTTTTCGTCTGGCTATCCGTGCACATGTCTTTCATGGCAAACGCAGCCTGCCTTTTTTGACTTTCGCTGTCAGGTGAGTTCAACGCGCAGGACTGCACATCATAGGAGGAAACCTAAACTGGACAATCTTTAAACGACTAGTTGTTGTTGTTTTCTTTTCGGAGGGTGTGGCAAGTGACAGCCCCAAAAAGATAAGTTGGCTGCAAATTTTCTTCATCCTCACGCATCATCCTCGGTCCTCAGCAGGCCAACCAAACTGATACTATTTGGTGAGGGGATGTTTTGGGCAATTACACGGTTCTTGCAATATGTTCCATGTGCCTGTATACACAATCTGTTTGTACAAATGTGTGTGTGTATGTATGTAATGTAATGTAATGTAATGTAATGTAATGTAATGTAATGTAATTAATGTATGTATGTATGTATGTATGTATGTGTGTGTGTATGTATGTATGTATGTATGTATGTATGTATGTATGTATGTATGTATGTATGTATGTATGTATGTATGTATGTATGTATGTATGTATGTATGTATGTATGTATGTATGATGTATGTATGTATGTATGTATGTATGTATGTATGTATGTATGTATGTATGTATGTATGTATGTATGTATGTATGTATGTATGTATGTATGTATGTATGTATGTATTAATGTAATGTAATGTAATGTAATGTAATGTAATGTAATGTAATGTAATGTAACTAATGTATGTATGTATGTATGTATGAATGAAATGTAATGTAATGTAACGTAACGTAACGTAACGTAATGTAATGTAATGTAATGTATGTATATATAGGAATACCATGAAAGACCTGTATTGTATCTTGAGACATATGTACATATAAACATCAACATGCATGCAAACCAACATAGACATGTGCAAACATACCATCTACCCTGCAGTAAACAAACTAGCATGCAATCATACTAACACATGAATATATATATATATATATATATTATATATATACTATACAGTAATTAAATGTACTATGTATATATGAATAGTGCATGGCATGACCTATGCATCCTACTGCCAAATCAGATGGTCTCTTGCCGGACGCCTGGATCTCTGCCTCGACAAAGGATGGATCAGCGGTGTTGCCTGGCTGCGATTGGTGGTTCCAAGCCCCAACAATCGTGCGTTGACAACGGAAATCATCATCATCATCATCATCATCATCATCATCATCATCATCATCATCATCACTGCCATCACCCCGTGGGGATGGAGAACCACGTATTTGAAACCACCAACGGGCGAGTTTGGGCTGTGAAGCCGTCTCTTTGAAAGCAAAATACCTTTGACAGGGCATCCCAATTTTGGGGTACCATATCAGACCTTCACTCAGCTGCCAAGAAATGCCGAAAACTGGTGAAACCAAAAAAAAAGTTCTTCGAACTTCAGGCCATCATCTGCCAGAAAATCAAGGCTCTTCTGCTACCACCCCTGGGGGATCAGGCCGATTTCCGGAATCAGGCCGATTGCTGGGCGCATTGGATGGCATGTTGGAGGGCATGTTGGACGGCATATTGGATGGCGTGTTGTCCTCCACATCCACATGCGCAGAGCGTTCCAAGTCCTTGAAGGCGTCCCATGTCTGGGGATGCTTTCCAACAAGACTTCCTGGCGCAATCTTCATTTCAATTTTGGTCCTTTTGGTCCTCCCTTCGGTCTTCCTGGTTTTGGTCTTCCAGACATAGACATGGCGCTGGCTGAGGCCATCACGTCCATCACATTCACGGATCATTTCTCTCAGCTCGCTGCCGAGATCTCCATAGCCACGAGCTGCTTGGGCCCTCGCACATGGGATTCATGGGATCCTTTTCTGGGAAAGATATACCCTCTGGTTATGTCAAAATAGCTATTGAAAATGGCCATAGAAATAGTGAGTTTTCCCATTAAAAATGGTGATTTTCTATAGTTATGTTAGTTTACCAGAGGGTATGACCTCTTGAAAAACCATATTTTAAACCACAAAACATGGTCAACAGCAATGGGAAAATTATATATAACACCAAACAGTGATATATATATATATAGCTTCAACACAATTATCTTTTTGAGGTCTTTTGAAAAGCGAAAAATAAATGAAAATTTAACCTCCCTTTTGGAATATCACACTGGATGAATTGATCATTGTCATACAAGATCCACGCTTTGTGGTCTTGATTAGACATCTTCTACAGCCCGAAACGAATACAAACCCGTCAATGTCCACCTCTTCTTACAACTACAACTACTCTGGCGCACAAATTCCCATTGAATTCTCCAAAACATCTAAAATGAGGGGATTCCTAAATAGTCAAACAACCAAAAATCTTTTTTCGCTGCCCAGGAGCTGTTCCCGGATGGCAATCTGAAACGCAGCTCCGGTCCTGGCATCCATAGCGCAGCTCTCACCAGGAGCCAAGGCAATCCCAGAGATGTCGGCATCTCCTGGTGTCACTGGGTTTGTTGTGGAAAAAACGAGCCAAAGAAAAGAAAAATAGTGGTCCCCTATATAGTTGGAGAAATCTTCAAAAGAAGTAGATGTTGAAGATGATGTCCCCTCCATAATTTTCGGATTTCGACTTCTTCAATCTCTTTTGGGGTAGCCCTCTAGTTGTTGAGGACCATCATTCCACTTGCACAGATAAAAATATACATCATAATTAATTGACTTAGAGAAAATTTGGAAAACCATGGAAAACCAGTCACGCAAATATGGTAAAACTTCGGTGCGCAAACCAAGAGTCCGAGTATGCATCGTGCAAACATGGTCTCCGGACCTGCAAAGTGGTAAGGCTGACAGGCTGACCCTTATGGGTACCATGAATTCAATGTCCAACAATGGAGCAGAATTACCCTCTGGTAAACTGTCACATAACAGATGGGAAAATCACCATTTTTAATGGGAAAATCCACTATTAATGGTCAT